CATGACCAATGCGGCCCCGGAGTCGTCTCGCCTCCCCCCCTAGTTGGACCGAGCTTGGATTTGTTCGTGCACACCTGGGACTCGCCAGTATAAAAAACAGTTGGGGGAACCACCACAAAGATAGGGGGGGACCAGGAATGACCCATGCGGAAAAAGGAACGGGGCAGGAAAAAAAAAACATTAGTAAACGAATTCCGGGGGCGTTCATGCAGTAAAATCGGAACATTTGAAAAACATGTGGTAACATTGGATCCAAAAAAATCAACCTGGCAAAAAACGTTTGCCAATTGCAGCCTGCGCCTGTGAAAACAGAAACGCGTCACGGAACAAGATACTTTTAAAATTCATGACGTGGGTAACGGGCGGGACACGTGAACATGTGTATTGCCTGGAAACCTTTTTGTTCAGCTTCACGTGCAGCAATCGGCAAGTGCCGAAAAAACAATCATGTCTTAATGCTCATGTTGAACATTTCATGACCATGACAAAATAAGCTAACCCGAGAATTTGGGCATGAATGACACGAACCTTCAATTCAACAATTTTGTATGACTAACAGAACAATCCAATGTGGCTTTGTCAATCAAATTGTGCCTTTCTCAAACTTCACCGGGATTGAAAATGGTGAATTCAATGAATTTGTTCCTTTATAACGACACCGGCTGAGCATGCTGTGATCCCCTCACTGGGCAGATCAATGACTTTTTAGGCCCCGTGGGATGAGACGATCGAAGTGGGAGTCGGGTTCCATCTGCTGATTTGTTCCTGGGACTTGTATTCCATCTGCTGATTTGTTCCTGGGACTTGTATATAAACAGACTTGCGATTCATTGGCATGGATGCTACAGACGTTTCGGAACAGAGTTTGTGAACTTGCAATTGGTGGCGGTGCCGACACTCTTTACTGTATGTCAAATCCTCATCGCGCCCGTTGTAGCATTTTTTTTGATAGTGAATTTTGATCCTTGACACATTGGGTGATTGTGTTTTCGAATTCAGTGTGATGCAGAAAGTTGGAGGAGTGAATCTTTTCCTTCATATTTTCGCACGAGTAGTTCCCAACAGCATGTGTGAACAAGTCCCGAGTGCATGTGCAATGCGTCCGATGTTTGGCAGTTTGCCGAGTTCATTGAGCAGCATTTCTTGAGGTTCTGCTCAAGTCAGCGCGGGACCGAATCATTTTAATTTTGACTGTTTTCGATTTTGGCCGAAACCCGAGAGGGTTGTCAAATGAGAATTTGTGAATGCTCAAGTGTCAAGTGGCTCCGATGGACCGTATGTAGTGTGCTCAAATTTGATGTCTCGCGGACATGTCCCTACAAGGCCCTTGCTCCATGAGAGTTGCTTTTGCTTTTGGAGTTCCCTTCTCCTGATCCTTTTCATCCTTTCGACAACACTGCCGCTCGCTCGATCCTTCAGCAACTGCATTTCTTCACTGTGTTGGATGCCATTCCATGCATCCCATTGTAGCGACCATGTGTAAACAACGTTACCGTTTTCAGTAGCCATATTTATAACCTTTTGCCCACCAACGAGTACGGATCGAAAATTCTCATCAATGCTCAACTCATGCTTCATGAATCCCGACTGGGCCAGTTGCGACATCCAACCGATCAAAAACATTTTTCGGGAATGAGTCAACGAAGGCGCCCCCCACCCGTGGGGCAACTGCTCACCCAGCCCCTGCTTGACGCGACTTCCACAAAAGGAAATGACAGGGCCATATGGATTTCGCCAACCTCGGAACAGGCCAGTATAAACATTGTCAACACACCTGGGGACAGGCCAGCATAAACACTGTCAGCTGTCACTACATCCACTGGACCGGGTTCATGCAGCAACAAGGTGCTTGGAAAAAAAAACAGCACTTCGTAACAACGCCACTGCAGTGTCACGCTCCAATGTAGAAGGGAACTTGGCAAACAACAGGCCTGGAATTGTTGTGACTTTATGTATGTTCCCTGTTGGCACGGGCCAGTGAGGGTTTTCAGTTTGGCGTTCGATCATTGTGTTGCTGCGTCGAGTGTTTGCAAGGATTGCAGGCCTCCAACCACCATAGTTTTCATCACTTCCGTTACGGTTGACCGTGGTGTAAATTGCATTTGCAAGAGCTGTGTTGGCATGTGGTCCATTTGTTCTTCAAGTTTTTCTATGCGAATATCATTCAAATTTATGTTGCCCTCCATTTTTTGTAAACGTTCTGCTATACCATCGCTCAAACTTGCGAGTTGGTTTTCCAGCGGGGACAGCCCCCGTTGACTTTTATTTCGGACAAATTGTGCTAGTGTTGCTGTGGTGACTTGTGCGGGAACCATCTCCTCGTCTAACGGGTGTTTCCGGGGCTTTGACTTCTTTGACACCATCCATTTCATCGAGTGGTGACATCATACGTCATGGGGGCCATGATGCCCACACACAGGAAGGGAGCAAACTTGAGCAAACTTGAGCCAGAAGTATATGAGTGAGGAGCGGTCGCAACTTGAAGAAACTTCAAAGTGATAGAGAGGCAGGCACCTCTATGCCCACATTGGGGCGGCCCATTTAGGGCACAGGCAAGGAAATTTATACATACAAAATACAAAATTTATCGAAATCTCATCTCGGGCACAGCATCGAAGGCAAAATTGCACAAAGGATCGCTCATGAATTTGAGCAAACCGGCTATATGCATGAAGTTGCTCGTCTTAAGTGTGCCGCAGGCGTACCACATTTCTGTGTCCCTCCAAAATCATGTCGGGAGCACGCGGCAACCAATGATCCGAAGGCAAATTGTATCAATTTCCGACACTCAACCGCCATACAATCGCCATAGTTTGTAGATTTCGGCGGATTGTGCGGTGAGGATTTCCGGAATTTGCCCTTGAACTCACGACACACTGAAAGAAATGCAAGCGATCATTACTTGATATGTTTTGAGATTGCAAATTTCCTCGGTTAGCATGGAAAGCCCGCACGGCTTGTGGCAAATGATAACGAAGATCAACTGCATGATTTGCAGAACTTCCGGCTGTGAGCATACAACCCAGCCATTTGCTCACATTTTGCCCCAGCACTTCCAAAAACAAGCGGCTTGGAGTATAAAGGGCCAATGGCAGCTGAATTGCGCTTGTCAGAACGGGTCTTCCAACATTCAATGCAAATCTAATAACCACGGCTGTCCACCAAAATGAAAACCAGCGTTGCCTATGTGACACCTTCATTTCTTCCTGGCCATATGCACTACCGAACAAAAATAAACGTGGATTTAAAACACACACCAGGCTTTACGGTGAAGGTTTCGCTGCGGCCCCCTTCTCACAAAATTTGGCCCGACTGGTTGAAATAAAGCAGTTTGTTGGATGGCTGCCTTCCGGTTGGGGTGTGCTCCATACCCTGGGGTGGGTAGCAATTATTGTGAGAGTCTGCCCTTAGTCCGGTTGGGGGGCACCAGGTTTCTGTTCACAAGAATCATGCTGAAAATGTAGAAAAAACATTGGGGCGGCCGGATCATGCAAGGACCTCTTGGTGAGGGCTTCGCTAAGACACCCGGAAAATCTTGTCAGAAGGACCTGTGCAAGATCACGCAAGGACCCTTCAATGGATGCCAGTGGGATCTTCACAAAATATGTTCATAAAGGCTTCTAGCAGATCATGGGGGGACTTGTCAGAAGATGCCATCAGGATCTTCACAAGACTTTAGCACAAAAAAATGCTAGACTTTACTTGTAGCCAAAATACGGGCCTCGAAGGCTGCGCCATGAAACTTCGGCAGGACTGTCACAGAATGATTTCCGAAAAAGGTTTTTGATATTGGTTTGTCTGGACTGACGCGTATCAAATAAAATCAGCACCGTGCCACAAAAAGAGCGAACTGACACGCCCAAGGTGCCGAGAGAGTTTGCGCGAACGACATCAAAATCGCACCGCTCCACAACGAGAGCGATCTGAGACACACGAAGTGACGAGAAGGTTAAGGGAATGATATCAAAATTCGCACCGCGCCACAAAGAGAGCGATCCGACACGCCCAAACTGTCATTGGCTAAGGTGTATCGACATGGCGAACCACCAGCTTCAATTTCAAATTTGACCAAGGGGAAGACGGGCAGGGATGTGCATGACAAAGACTGGCTGGTTGGTTGGCAAGGAGCACAAACAAAGAAAACACGACGAGGTATCTCGAAGGGAAACCTATTGTAAGGCACAAAAAAGTGTGACCTCAGCCAATGCAAGCACAACCAGGAACCCAACCCCGGCACCTCTGGAACCACCGCAGCCAGTCCTTGCGTTTGAAGTATGCCCAAAAAAAATTGGCCTGTCGGATAAGTCTGGCTCATGACGTAGGAAAAATGTTTGAAACATGTGGAAAATAGCAATGATTAAAAACATTTTGATGCAAAACGTAGAGAACATGAGAACATGATTTGGGCTAACATTGAGTAAAACACAAGATGGATAAGACCAAACATATTATGATTCTTCCCTGTGTTTGTCATACATGTTAAAACGGTGTAAATAGTTTTACCATATCCATGATTTGTGTACCGGGTGTGTTGGGGTGGAAACTCCCGTATGTGTACCTAAAACAGTGGCTGGCCCCTCCCCCCAACGCCTCGGAATATTCAACCAAAACGTGTAGCATGGCTAAACAATTGAAAAATGATAAATGATAAATGCCTTGATTGTTCCGCATTATTTGGATAAAATTGATGAGTGTATGGCTAAACAATTGAAAAATGATAAATGCCTTTATTGTTCCACATTATTTGGATAAAAACTGAGGAGTGCAATATGCCACCATTTTTTGTATCTTCACCAGCATCGGACATGGGCAAAAAAATGATAAACGGGGACGCAAAACCAACTCATGATGTACCACAGTCCCATTGATAAGTGCCGTAGTGTCCCCATCAGGTTGATGCAAAAGAAGGAATCTATCATTTTGAAATCATATACGTTTGTTGAAGGACAACCTGATAACAGCTTGTCAAGAGATGCCTGGCTCAAAAACAGTGCAAAAATTGGTTTGGCCCAACGCTATGACTTGCAGGACTCCCGATTCTGCAACGAACGAACGCTTGCCGATTCTCCACCTTGCCTTCTTGTGTGCGCTGGAAGGGGCATATTTTTACACCATATGCACCATCTTCAGTTTCGCAGGTATCCTCAGTGTAGATCTAGGATGGGCTTCAGATAGAAACGGGGCGGGCTCTGTGGCAGGCTGGCTACAATCTTCAAATGTTTGCGGCCGCATCTTTACATCTCCAGTCTGGGGTTTTGTTGCTGCACGGTATGGCATCAAGGTTGTGCTTACCATTACGTTGTCCTCCATGTTGATTGGCGGCATTCTCTTCGGTTTTTGCACCATTCTTATTGCGGCAATGAGTGTCCGCTTCATTTTCTTGGGTGTTCTGAATGCTTGGCTGGTTTTAACGGGTCCTTGTGCACTCGCTGTTGCAGGATGCGAACGCCAGACAGAGGTTCTTGGATTGATCTTTGCCGCTGGATGTGGTATGCAGTTGATAGGTCTTGCAGTTGGAGGTTGGACCTATGGCATTGTGGAACAATTTCCAGCATTGTTTCCGAGCCTTGTTGGGTGTGGTTTGTGGATTGTTGCCTCAGCCCTGTTGATTACCTTCGCAAGGTTTTTTCACAAGAGGAACCTCCTGTCAAGGAAAAGGCAATGCAAGCGGAATCTGATCAATCTGATTCATCCCTTCCCAAGTCCAAGCCTTTGATTTTCCAGTGGTCTATGCCACTCATACTTATCATGCGCTTTGCTGGAGGATGTGCGTCATATACAATGTATGAGGCCGTGCCATTGTGGTTGATCTCTGACACTGAACTGGGAGGCCTTGGAATGACTGAGAAGTCGGTTGGTTCCTTTCTGTGCAGATCTGGCCTGTGGAACATCATCTACTTCACCTGGGTCCTGCCATGGTGCTCTAAGCGCTTGGGAAGTCGCTGCTACTGCATTGTGACAAGCGTCATTGCAGCAGTCACGGCTTGTTTCTTGCCCTTCTCTCCCAACATTCCAGTGGCCAACGTTTTGCACCTCATTTGGGCGTCGGCACTGGTGTCCAACAATTTGTTAAATGCTGCCTTCACCAATAATGCCACATCTTCCGAAGAACGTTTTGTGGCAAGCGGTCTTGCAGTGACCGCTGAGACGGTTGGGAAAGCTATTGGACCAGTGGCGTCTTCATCAACCTTTGCATGGACACTGAACACTTGGGGATGGCATGGGCATGGCACTGCGTTTTTCATTCTGGCAGGATTGTCAATTATTCAAATCATTTGTGTTCTTTGCCTTCCCAGCTACGTTGAGCCTTGCCAGCAGTCCGTAGAGATGCCATCAAAAACTGGCAGCGTTGCCAGTAAGGAGGGTAAAATCCCGGATCCTTGACTTTCATGAGATGACCCACAAGTGTTTGCTTAGACCCGGTTTCACCTTGTTTAGTTTATATATAATTATATATATATACATATATTTATGGCGCGCGGCCATTTTTCAGGAGCCTTGTCTTGAATTCGGACATGTCTGGGGCACCTGTTCCCTGCTGTTCGCAAGCAACAGCAGGCTCTTTTTTTGGTGCTTCAAACCATTCAGGCCCCAGACAGCATAGTTGCATAGACCCACAGACAAACTCCCAAGATTGAACGAAATTACGGCGTTTTCACGTCTCGTAGAGGGATACTGAGCATACTGCAGCATTACAAGACGGTGTTTGGAATGCTTTGGATTTGATCATTTTGTGGAAGTATGGACTTCATAAAGTGTTACGTGATAAATATTGGGTGACGCAGGCATCAGCTGAAAAGTCCAGTGCGCTAGTGAGAGCTTGACCGAAAATTATTAGAAGCTATTCGCAACATTGGTTGTGAATGGTTTTCATGCTTTGTGGCGGTTTGAATGCTCCACGAAAAGTGCTTTGGTTCAATTTGATGAAAACTCTGCCCATGTGCATCGCCCCAGGAGAGGCATCATATCACAACAATTTTTCTGTTGATTTTTAGGGGCAACATGGTCAACAGGAGAAATGTGTGATGTTTGGGGCAGACTTTTGAGCACTTGAACTTTGCGAACACCATGGCTTTGGCAACATTTGGAACTTGCTTTGCGGGCTTTGGGTGTGGAGTGGCGGCCATTTCAGCACAGACTCTTGTCGGACAGTTGAAGTTACCACGCCAGTGTTCAAAACAATGGTGGTTGATGATTGATGATTATAGGTGACTATACAGCTATTCAACATACTAGTGGGGATTATCACCTTGTTTACGTCAATGGTTTTTTGGAACCATTTTTTTCCGGAATCATTTCATCCCAGGCGCTGCTGGCAAAGGAATCCGCAGCCAACAAGATGCGTCAGCCCATCCGACCCACACAGTCAGAATCACCAGAGAATTGCGAAATGCAACTGTGGGCAGCTCAATGTGACAGTCACAGGTCCTGACCCCGAGCGCATCAGTTTGTGCCACTGCAATTTGTGCCAAAAACAGTCTGGGAATGTTTTCGCTGTGCAAGCACGCTTCCCGAAAGAGCAAGTGAAAATTGAAGGAACATCCACGGTCTGGAAACTCACGAAGGATGAAGCGGACAAGCTTGAGTATCGCAATTGCGTGAGCCTTGGAGGTGGCGGTTCTTTTCATTTTTGCCCACGATGTGGTTCCACCGTTTGGTACATGGCTGATGCAGATACCGCCCGGATTGGTGTCAAGATTGGTTGCTTCACTGACCCAGCATTCCCGCCGCCGAAATTGTCCGGTTTTGAGGATTATTGCCACCCGTGGGCATTGGAGACAGCTTCTCTGGCAGTTCAACATTTGAAATGACGCTACGCCGCTACGTCATACACTCGCTCTTGAAGGTTTTATATCAGAGCGGCTGGAATCTGTGGAGAAAATCGCCAAAGTTCGTCTGGCTCCTATGTTTTGCCGGTTTGTTGGTGACCACATATTTGTGTTCCGCATTTGTTTAAAGAAGGTCGCTGGAGATATTCTTGCTAATGGTAGGGCATTGCAGGAGTTGAGTTGTGAATTCCTCAGGGGCTGCAGCAGACCAAATATATCCGTTGGTCCGTTGGTCCAGGTTCAGAGGTGGCTGATAGTACATTGACGCCCTTCCCAGACCCTTCCCAGACCCTTCCCAGAATCCGTTCTCATGTTTAGTTTTGGATTCTTGCATGGCAGCTGTTTGCTTGCACTCGAGCCCTCCTGCTATCAAACTCTGATGGAGTGGCCCCAGATTGCAATGGAAAAATATATAATATAAGTGAAGCAACTTATGCACAACAATTTTTCTTTTTATATGTTGAATAAAAGTGCTCGCATGCAACGATTCTGCGAATTTGGCAGAATGTAGCGCCAACAGCATAATCTCCTTTGTTCATAGTGCAGATGATTGATCAGGCTGAATTGTGAGAGGTTTATGACTGTTGTTGTTCCAGCTTCGCACTTTGCGGGCGCAATGGGAGTCGCGTCGTGACCTGTGACGGATCGTTGTTATGGGAGCTGCCGGCTGTTGGTTCTGTTTGATCCTCGGGCTGCCAGGTTTGGCCCTGGCTACACCAAACTGCACAGTTTGCGATGGATCTGAAAGTCTTTCCCTCCGGCAATTGCGTGGTGTGAAAACCAGCATCACCACAGAGGCTGTGGGGGCTAGGCATACAGTTGCCCTGTGAAGAATTTTCCAATGAGAAAAATCAATCAGGCTAAGTTGCAGGTGTAGCGTTTTGTTTAGCAACATTTTGTGGATATACTGTAGTATGATTTTGCCTTCGTTGCAGATGGTAAATTCCTAAAAGCCACTTGCTACGTGTGATTTCGCACTTCCTCAGGCATGGTCATTCAAGGACCCCAATCCGGATTTGCTGCGTTGGGATCGAATCATTACAGAAGCTGTTGACTCCCCTAGTGGGCAGATCAACCGCACCACGTACAACGGATGGCTCAAAGTGCCCTTGGTACATGACACTGCCCTACTGCAATTTGAGATGCCACCATTTGTGTGCCTTCGAGTGCGTGGAATAGCTTCACAAGTTCAACCAGCAAGGAACGGACCCATACTGGCTCATTGTGGCGGGCCGTTGACAGGAAGAGAGTGCGCACAAGATATGAGCGAGGTGAGTTTTCTGGACATTGATGGACAGCATGAAATCATATCTCATTTTGACCTGATCTCCATTGATCAGCGAGGGGTGCTGTCCACTCAGGACACTTATGAGAGACAAGGAAAGTGGGGTGTACCCCCTCCTTGTCCTTTCGAAGAGTCCGGACAAGCCCTCAAACCATTTCCAGAAGTGTATTGCGATGAGGCCGCCAAGCACAACCTGGGCTCCGTAAAGCAAGTACTGGAGCAGTTGGTGACTGTAGGGCACAATCAATCCATGGAAGAGCTGGCGCGAACCTATGTCCTGCCCATCTATTTGAACAGGGGCATTCCAGTTTCCGTGCTAACCGAGGGCAATGAATCCTTTGTGCGATGGTACTATCGTTTGGTGCGACTGGAACACAGCTTATGCTTTGAAGCCCCACGTTACAAGATCCAGGCACCCAACGGCCGCATGTACAATACATTGCAATTTGCTGGGACGATTGACCTCGCCTACGATATTGAAGCCTGGCAGAAAAAAATGCACCTTTCCATTTTTTTCTCCTTCACTGCTTCTTGTGTCTTCCCCACACCCCGCACCCCCAGTCACCTGTCATCCCTATCCCCCCACCTCAGGACCTACTGCGACAGGCCATCGGTGCAGAGAGGATGTCATTGTACGGAGTCTCCTATGGCACATCAGTGGCCGGGGTCTATGCCACCGTCTTCCCGCAGCACACCCATCGGGTGGTCATGGATGGTGCCTTGCACCCAGCCCCTGACGCGGCTGTGCGCGGTGAGAGTTTTGCCTTCGCTTCGCAATCCTTTTGGGATGGCATTGTCCGCGACTGTGAGGCATTGCATTTGGTAAGGGCTCAAATCAAAGGGCTTTTGAGTTTTTCAAAGTGGTTCCACGTTTCTTTGATCTCTTAAGCACGAGCCAAAGTATGAATGGACCTTCTGTGAGCCACCCTTCAGGCCAGCGTACTTCGAAATCTCTCCCAAGAGGAAGTCTGCCCGGCAGCACCCGAAGTGGCGCTAAAGGCGCAGAAGGTTTTGCATGGAACCAATCGAACGGAAGCCAATTCCTTGCTACTACTGATCTGGGCTGCATCCTACTACGAATCCTGGGCCCCCCTTGCAATGGCATGCATTCAGCAGTTTTTTTCTGGCAAAGATGTGCCGGGCTGTCGCGAACTTAAATCGAGAAAGGCCGTGAATTTGCTCCAGAGTCTGCAGAGTCTGCGAAATGCTCCTGACCCTGGCGACCCTGGCTTTGGATCTCGTGGATCTCATCCAGACTGGCAGCACGCCCTAAAGGACATCGTTCGGAGCCGGAACGAGAGCACCCCGGTGGATCGCTTCCTGTTTGGGTTGCCGGCGGTAGTCATGGGAACTGACACTGCGGGGCGCTTGGATGAGGAGGAGCTGGTAACGTGGTGGAAGAGAACCAAGGACCAGGGTCGTTGTTTCTTGCTTTGGGGAGCGTTTCACAAACTTGAGATTCCACGTAAGCATTCGATGGCACATGGTTGGCTGGCCATCTAATCGGTTCCGGTGCTGAAGAAACAGGTTTCACTTCATACAAGCGGAGTAGCATGATTGTGAGGTGGCACCTATGACTATGACTGTTTACAAAGCCTGCAAAAGGGTATTATAGGGGGTAGAGTGGCTCGAGTTCAGCCAGTTTGTTTCTGTGCGGCCAACTGTCCTCGGCCTTGCTTACCCAAGCGAACCAACCAAACCAAAAGTCATGTCGTTCTGATTCTTATCTCAGATTATTCCAACTCTTCTTTCCGTTCTGGGTCGGGAATTATCAAATATGAATATAAATAAGTCATACTAATCTGAGCATATTCGAGCCCTGTTGTTGGCAACCTGCCTTTCTATCCTTTTCTGCCAAGATCCAGAGAGGAGCGTGCGCCCATTGGTATCATTTGGGCCTTGGATTGGATGGTTGCGATGGTCACATGGCCCGCCTATGCGCGGCCAGTTCCACCTGTGGGGGATGCCAGTTTGGAGCCGGTCATCATTGGAAACCTCCATGATCCGCGAACAGCTTATGCCAATGCACAGGAGTTGCGACAGGCATTTCCTGAAGGTTACTTGGTCACCTGGCAGGGCTATGGACATGGCTTAAAAGACTCCCATACGAGCCAGCAAGGTGCCAGCATTCTTAGGGAGTACGAGAAGTCAAGGGCTGAAAACAAGTTGCCGGAATACACCAATGCCGTGGCGAAGTATGCTTGTATTTCCAAGGTTTTTCACTATTTGGACACAGGAGAGGGAATCCGAGACGGCCACACGTGTTTGTTGCCGGAAGCATTAAACTTGGGGAGCGCCCGTGCTGTATCAAAGGCTCGAGAGCTGATCACCTGGTTTTCTCAAAGGAAATGACGTTTTCCAGAGGCCACGATTTAAAAGCCTATCCCGCTATCCCGATTGGGATGGTGATAATATGTGATAATAATTAATAGGCTCAAATCGTGGCACAAAAGATGTGCTTTCAGAACTCAGAGGGTTCTTCCCTTGCCTGCACGAACGTTTGAAAGGCGGTTTCTCGCTGGGCAAGGAATGTAGGTGCTAGGTACTCAATGCAGCATCGGTGCCAGAGCGCGTCAGCTGTTTTCTGATCCACAGCATAAGCCTGGAGAGAAAACTTCCCCAGTTCAATGCGTTCTCCTGTGCACTCAGTCCACTCCTGTAGCAGCGTTTAGGTTGAGTATGATGATGGTTGAGTTGACACAGACACTCCTGAATAGCGTTTGGAGACATGATGGTCTTACCAATGGAGTTGGCTCCTGCACCATGACCTTTCGGCTCACATGACTCACATCTCCATTCGCAGCCAAGCTTCGGTGACAGGGAATAGGAAGACACCAGCATTAGCGGTCAATCCAACCAGTAATCATCCAACATCCAAAAGTTAAGCTAAGACTGAAACATTTTTAAAACCAAACTCCAAACCAACAACAGCCAAAGTGACAAAAACCCGAAGCTACGGAATGAACACATGGCTGAATCATAGAATCAGATGAGAATGGGCTGAACCCTTCAGCCACCTAGCGGCATGGAATGGTCAGAGATAAGTTGACACCATGGGCAGGCTGGAGGGTGGGAAGGTCCCAGCTGCCTCTCTGATGGAGTTGTTTCCTTGTGGCTGTGAGTGTTGTCGCAGGAGCTTTAGGCTCAAGCTCAGCCAATTTCCAATTCACTTTGGAGCTTGGGCACCATGGCTTGATCCCTTGAAACTATTGGTGGGGTACGTTTTACCTGTCACATAACAAAGCCCGAAAGAATTGGAAGCCTTACCATTGGTACGGTTGCCGGACCCTTGCCATGCCAACGGCAAGTCGAACAAGCTCACCGAAGCCAAAGCCACAGAAAGAGGAGTTGCGACAAGAGACTGTTTGTCTGCCAAAATTGAATCATGCTCAATGGTTTGGACGGCAGTTTCTTTTTCTTCTTTGATTTGGGTGGGGGGGTTCTCATTTCCTCATGAATCTAGTGAAACGACTTTGTTGCAGTTCGTTGCTGTGAATGCTTCGCAACAGCCTCCTCACATTGCTGTGCAGGAACCACATGATGGGTCACGTGGACAAGGGGTCCAGCTGGCAGAAAAAGACAAGGCGCTTGCACATAGGGTAGCTGCTCCCTCTGGAGCGTTTCTCAAAGCATTGTCCTTCTCAAAGCATTACTCCATGCCTGAGGCCACAGGACGGAGTAAGGTCCCTCGACCTCCAGGACTTTGCTGTTTTGATGCTGGTATCATGGCGGATGCTGGTTTGATGCCACTTTCGGAGCTGTCAGGACTACAGTCCACTTTGCTGCTGCTCTATGGCGGTCGCCTGAGTTTTTCTTACAGGTGCAGGAGTCATCTGCAGCCGCAACAATGCGCAGGTATTTTGGCGGTCTCCGTCCTGGTGTTCGGAGTCATTGCTGCGACTTGACAGCACCAAAGCTTTGCTTGTGAGTGGCCAGGAGGGTTTGGCTGCTAAGGAGTCGATGAGACATCAGATCTCTTCGCATCAATTCCAGCGGCGCGACGGGAGCCTTATCAACATCAGTGCTTTCGATCCCATTGAGC